GGTACCCCGGGGGTTATTTCCGGAGTTCGATTTTTGGCTCATGGATCCTGGAAGTGAAAAGGGGAGTGCATAAAATGTTGGCAATCCAGGGCACAATTCTGCACAAATCCGAAAAAAATTGCACATTTATTCTAGAATAAAAAAGGCAGGCAATAATATTCTTCTTGCGGAATACTTAACAATAACATATCTTATATATCATGTCATCTTTGATTTTAAGGTGAAATTCAGGGTTGCTACACAATCATTTTAATAAAAACGGACTAAACTCCAATCGAATAAATCGAGTTGAACAATTTCAGTCCACAGCTTCAGAAATGTCAAATTTGGTCTTACTCAAAAAGTGTAAAAAAAAACTATATAAGCCACATATCAAATCATTCATTCCAGCTTAACTCTGAATAGCAACTCTTTGAAAAGGAATTGCTCCTGATTCCTTTGGAAAATCAGATAGAAAATTTAACAAATGTTGGTTTTATCAATTTTTTTCCTGACTGGAAAATCTCCAGAAAATGTTTGCAGACCAGCATAAATTGTTTGAATACTGTAACTAGCACACAGTCCTCAAACCAAATATTCTCTTTGAAGAAAGTTTTCCAGCCAGGCTTCAAGGAGGGTTTTGTGGAATGAATACTTGAAGTAATTTATTTAAGCAGGTGCAAATTTTTTGTCAAGCGTTATCAGGGGAAGAGCCACATTTAATTTTTTAATGAGATAATTCCAACTGCCATTGCCTTCCCAAAATTTCATTTAAAAAATAACAGACTTCATTAGTACCTTTGATAAATATTCTCATGCCAAAGAAAATTTCGCGCAGACCAGCAAAAAAAATTCTGCAGACCCAGCGTCAAACTGAGAACCATGGGTTGCCGACCACTGCTGTGTTACAGGACTGGATTCAATCTAGGAATATATCGCAACACATTCACCAAAACGAATTTGCTTACCCGGATATCCTCCTGAAGTTGCGGAAAGAACTTCCCAGAAACTTCTGCGATCATCTTCTTGCATCATCCGAAAATAAGCTTCAGTACCAAATCATCACGGAGAACACATACCTGCATCTCGTGACGCAACAAGCGCAGTATCAATCGGATTCTCTTTTTCTCTGTTTCCTTCCATCGTCCTGCTCCAGCAGTAATTCAGGCGTTCAGACAAAATCTTGAAGAATTGAAGCACGGTATTCCAAACGAACCTCAAAAATTTAAAGATGCAAGAATTAAAACGAAAAAAAGTTTGATGAATAATACAAATTAAAACGGGCGAATCCACTCATAAACGACGAATTTTTTAATCGCATAACAACCGCTCCCTGGCACAGCACAAGTTGATCCACTTTAAGCACTTGAATAGATCGGAGTTCCGGGGATGTTCCCACATTCCTTTGATCGGTTCCAAGCCTTGTGAGTACATTTTATGACGCGAAACCTGCTGCGTTATTAACACATCAGTTACTGCACTCTTGGTACTGTGCAAAAAAAACTGAAGAAACCCGGACTTGGATAATGTGGCTTCTGAGTCATCCTAGTTCAAGTGACCGCATGACAAAGGGGACAAACAAATCAGGTTCTGGTATTTTCCATCACCTACCATTTGAAATATCTCTCCTCACTTAGGCTGGCTAATTGCTTGGAGTATCCCGGACAGTTTAACTTGTTTAAGATCAGGTGATTGGATCTCGAACCACGCGCGGGTAGCAGAAATACATTACACTACGACTAACGCAAAAACGAACTGGGCAAAGATGTTAAATCCCAGAGAAAGACATGGGATGCAGATTTATGGTAAAGTGTAATGCACGGTTCCTACGAAAGTGTGTTAGATAGACACAATGGACTATGGCACCAAAAAGAAACACTCATTTACGCTGAAGAGTCCGGCTCACATGGAAATACACAAGAGCTGAGAAAAGTGGTTCAACCTCTGTACCAGGAAATTTCACGAAGCACAAATCACATCCAAAAATTGTATTCACGCGAATTTTGGGTACGACACAGTGGATACGGTAAACCAGTTAGTTATCAATCAAAAAAAAAAATAACACCCGCGTATTTCTTCGTCACAACTTCGGTATTACTCCCGTCGAACACCCGGAATTTTTCAACATCAAAAGCTCTTTTTTCATCAAATTACGAAAAACAGAAGACGGAGAGTTGCGTGAGGCACGACATACTTGGTCCACAAAAAAAAAACCATTCAGATGCTGTATGAACTATCTAGCAATTAACTTGCCAGAGGTTAGGAACATCATCATCACAAACAGAAAAGCTCCCGAATATTCTCTGCCCGATCGTACACGTTCATAAACGAATTCGGACCCCGTTTTTCCCATCCGCAACACATATAAAGCGATCAAAACAGCCATAATTCGAAAAAAAATATACCACTTTTTGAATCCAGTTCGACTTCACATCGAACCAAGAATTCTAAAAATTAAATTTAGCTTTTATATAAAAACACAGGGCATCTCACGGATAACGTTTTGATGAATTGAAGAAAGCCTCGATTACAAATCATACAAAACGATTCGGGCTGCTTTTCGAAAAATCAAGATAACACATTTTTCTTAGAAATACAATCACATTGTAGCCCGGAAACCACGAAAATTCCATTTCGAATGGAACGAGGAAAAAATGTGCATAAAAACATACGAGGGTCACGTTTTTGCGTATGGAAGGTTTTCCCTGTTTTTTGGAATTGTTTTCACAAACCGGTCTGTTTACAAACCAAAAACTTGACACTTGGACAGTATACCAGCACTATCAAAGCAGAATTTTCTCGTCATTCATCTGTGAGTCTCGTTTTTAGCTTTGGTGCAAACCTGTCAAGTACAAGCAATGAATTTGCCGATGCCACGACTGATACACAAAAAGGAATTACAGTATATAGAATCATAAAAAAGAGAGAACAGTATTGCAGCAAATTTTCCAGCGTACGAATAGAAGGAAAGTTTATTATTTAATCTTTCTTGAAGTTTTTCTTCTTTCGTAATCTTTTGTCTTCTCAATCCACCGGCTCCCGTCAAGACCTGTAGAAGTTGTGCATTACACTTCTTAAATTCAGTGAAAATAAAACAAGTTGAGTACTACATATAGAAAAACAAAACAAAAGTTCCAGACAGCCACCAACATATTTCACGCAGACCGAGCTTTCTTCAACTTTGACTCCAAGTTTTCCCTTTCGCGAACACGGGAAAAATTTTCACAATCACTGGCTTGGGAAGTCAACCCAACTTCACACAGGGATGACGGATCAACTGCTGCACCCAAAATTGCATTCAGCTTCGCTGGTAAATCCCGAACGAGGTCCGAAAGCAAGATGAGCGACTTGAGAACGTATTGATCATGGGTCTGATGCGTTTCCAACAAACGAAAAAGAGTGCTGGATACTTGTTTGTCACGCTCCGATTTATCCTTCAATTGGGAATTCAGCACTTCGATCGTGTCGAAAAGAATCCTGTGAATGGATCCTTCAAAAGACCAACAAATGATTTAAATACATTCCCGCCATGAAATTTACTTACAGCTAAAATCTCTTACTTATTCTTTCGAATGAAATTATCCCAATATGTCTATATGCATCACATTCGAATGCGATGAAAATTTTTTCGCAGGCTAAATGGAACATGCATTTCCCGGCAGTGAAAACTGAACCACCTGAACCACATGTGCATGAATACAAATAGTTATTGATTCCAAGACACCCCTATTTTTTCTTCTTGACTGAAAAAAGTATGCTTCAAAAGGTAAAATGTATGGTCAAATGCTTCACTATAGTGTACAACTCACCCGGACTTCTATACAGTAATGATAATTTAATAAGGTGACCGATACTGCATGCTATGGTCACCTGCGAATTATGCCTCACCGATTTTTGTTTTGGCAGTGAAATCAGCCTTACAAGAAAGTTGAATTTTACATAACGACACAGAAATACGGCGAGTTTTGAGTTGACACGCTTCCTTAAATTTGAACTTAAGGAAGTCAATCACCTCTACTTATTCCGCATCCTGAACAGTATTTAGGAGTCAACAAACAAAGATGAACAAAAGAGAAGACAGTAACTTGAATGGGAGCAAAATTTAAACCAGTTCATTAAAAAGAAATCTGCATTTGAATCTGAAACTCAATCGATACCAGATAATGCCCTCCTCTTTTCGAAGGCCCAGATTCACAAAACTGTTACACATTAGTCAAAAGTGTCTTCATGAAAATTAGACGCTAATTCAAGCCATAAAAAAGTGTCTGCCGTTCCAAATGAGGTAGTCAAGTAGAGAGAGCAAGGGGCCAGTGGAACAAGATTTGAAAATTTCAAATTACCTTCACAAACGCAACCATCCTTATTTCGATTTGAATTCAACTCTGGTGTGGTCTGAACGCCCACTTCCACCTTTTTTGTTGAACCTTGGTGGTGACCTGATCTGGGCCCACTGACGTCAGAACTCAGATCAGATGGGGGCATGCTTTCCACAGAACTGGATCTCTGCTCACGTACACTAGCCAGTTTTTCCAGTAGGTTCTTTCCAGAGCCAACTTCTTTAGGAATCGAAGTTTGCCGCGTCAAGTTCACCGATTGTGACACCGGAACACAGTGCAGATGATTTACCAGTTTACCCGCATCGAGTTCGTCTTCCGCAGTCAGGAAGAACCCTCCTATAAGGGATTCATGCGGAAAAAGGTTTCGTGAATTGTGTAACTCAGGAAACTTCTTTAAGGAACACCCAGTAAACTAACAAAAAAAGAAGGCATGATTTATGCGTAACATAACGAGATTTTACCTCCAAGACGGAAACGGCATTCCCTCCCATGCTCTTCAAAATTCCTCCGGACCTGGTCGTGATAAGCACCCGATGACATATACGTCGGTAGAAGCGTGAACAGATGATCCTTGTGAACATAAATTGTATTCTTGTGCTCGTAAAGAAGATCAGTAACATCCGGCAAAAATTTCCGCAGATCTTGTTCATAGGTATCGAATGGCTCCGGGATCCCTTCGTCGTCTTTCAGCTGGGATACAAAACGTGAAAAATCAAGCACTTTGTATCTCAAAAGCTTTGAAATTTGAAAAAAAAAATACAAACAATTTGTTCACGCCTCCAAGGATTTCTTCTGATCCGTTTAATGGGAAGAACACTTTCTGGGGTCTCAGGCACGGTGACATCAGGTAATCCGTTCAATTTCACATTAGGCACTGGTTTCCTGAAATTGAATTCAACCTCATCAATTAATATACTGTACTGAAAGACGAAACATCCGCCTAGACGATTACTGTACATGAAAGGTGTTTCACGGCAAAAAATGGCTTTCTTTCGTGCTTTCTTCGTAACTTCTTCAATCGGAGACCGCGAAACCTTTGGTAGCAACATTGGCGACAAACCTCCGTACATACAACCTCCATCCGACTGCACACAAAATATTGCGTTATTCAACATTTAATCACGTTCAATTATGAATACAGTACTTACATTGCTGACAGAAGGTGAACTCGCGTTTTGTTCAACATTTGGACTTCTGAAGATTACTGGCTGACGACGACCTCGTTCCGACAGGGTTACGCCTCCACGTGAAAGATATGATGGACTGTTCTCCCCTCCAAACAGGGAGTAGGGCGAAAGAGTTTTCTCCTTCCCTGAAGACAAAATCATGATTCGTATCATAAAATTGCTTAACTTGGGTACTTAATGACCGCAGACTTACGTTGAGAAGGCCCTTGCTGACATTGTTCGAGCCTTTTCTGATGTCTTTGCTGCTCGAAGAAGTTAGTTTCGTGGTCATTACTACTAGATTTGATTGACTGGATCCAATTCATCCCTTGATTAGCAGAGGTAAAGAACCAAAAAATGATCAGCAAAGAAAAGTAACTGAGGGGCTTCTCAAATCGAGTGACTTCAGTATATCTAGGGAACTGAGCTTCCACCAAAACATGACCTAAGATATCAATTCCTTCACGAATGGTTGAAAAGAAGCCACAGGATCCATCTTTCTGGATAACCCAGGAAGTGAAAATCGATCTGAGCTCCAGCAGCAGCTAATTCAAAGACAAGCTCAACAAAAGTTTTCGTGAGTGGATCAGATTCCTGGGATCGTCCCACACACCGTAATCCCCACGGAGAATCTCGCGGTCGAGTTTGTTACAGGAACGCCGCCATTTGCGTAATTGATAAGAGCATATGATAGATATGTTTTCCAGGGGGGTATGGGCCAAAACTAAAACATGCTACGAAGCACCTGTACAATACACTTCACAGTACTATTATTTTAAATACAATACTGTATTACGCTTGAAGACTCTCAGCACAATTCATACTAATATGCTTCACAGAGGATGCATTGAAAATACTGTACAGAATCCACTGACGATCAGCCTGTATATACTTAGTGAATCATTTTACAGGCAGAGTCACCAGAACTAAACTTCTGCGTTTATATTCATCCCTCCTCCTCTTCTGCTCGTGTGACCCGTCTTCATCTTGGCTGTAAATGCATGCTGCTTATTGATTAGTACATGCTCTCTGTGAAGGAGATATGAATATAGACGCTTCGCGAGACGAGGGCAGCAGCAATGAAGTCAGTCAACTGTGGGCAGTTATATGCTGTATATACATGCAGAATATAGTAGACATTCATGCACAGTTGAGTATATTATACTCAGGACGGTACCGGCCTATGTATACCGTATTTACTGAAGTACTGTACCAGCACGCCCTCCTTTTTTCTCAAATTGGAGATGGAAAAAACCAGGTGCGCTTCATAGACGTGTATATATGAAATGTTCAAAAAAGTTTAAAAGCTTAGTTTAGCAGTGTGTTTTTAAAACACACTGCTAAACTGAGCTTTTGAACTTCTTTGAACATTTTTGATGGAACATTTTGGACCTATTTTTACGAGAAAGCGTTTGAAGAGGAAAAGAAATTTTCTGTACCATGGAATTGATAAAATTTCGTTGAATTCAGGGTCCATAAATTTCTGAAGTCAATTTTGGGCGGTTTTATAATTTCAAATGTTTAACCTTGTTCAGAGTCCCGAACAAATAGGGTACACGTTTTACTCAAGGATACAATTTCATACCGAATTTTGACTGTAGAACCCTGGTGCCCGTCTTATACTTATTGAGGGCGCTTGATGATTGATATACTCAGCACGTACAGTATGTATAAATACGGGTACTGTAATTAGTTCCAGCATGTGCAGACGATGCAGCATCGATCCATGTCACAGATGATGTATACTGTACTGCCGCATAGATCTATGCAATTCATAGTGCTACTTTCGTCGTTCGGTATAGTATATACACGNTAAATACGGGTAATTAGTTCCAGCATGTGCAGACGATGCAGCATCGATCCATGTCACAGATGATGTATACTGTACTGCCGCATAGATCTATGCAATTCATAGTGCTACTTTCGTCGTTCGGTATAGTATATACACGTTTTGGATACTGTAGTTTTTTAGTCTTGCTGCATGGATATTCGCTGCATCCCCTATAATAAAGTTACTTGCGTTCGTAAGTGTGTGGGACCTCACCTCTCTTACTTTTTCCATAGGGCCCTTTAGGAATTCCAAACTCCCTCCCACAGAGCCCCCAGAGAGGCCTGCAGGAGGGTCACGTTTCCCGGCGTCTTGCCTTTCAAAATTTGCCAAAAATTCAATATTTATGCAAAGTTCATTTTGAAAACAGCATAAGCAGCACCATGATGTTTTCTACATTTCTGTTTTTTAAACTTTTAAATTGCTCAAGAATTGACCAAGTTATAATGAAAAACGCAAAAAGATTTTTCAAAACCGGACAAAAAACGCAAAAACTTAATTTTACTTTCTTAATTTTAACTGTGCAATTTTGAATCATTTCAACAACAAAAAAATACCTAAATTCTCAGAACATCCCTGTGCACATATTCCTGCAATATTTTTGAAATTGAGGAAATATTGAAAAACTTACAATGAGCTAAACTCAAAAAACGGACATTTTCAAAAATTCTGTTTTCTGTTTTGCCCAAGTTAAAAATGTGGCAAAAATTCAATTCTTTATCAAAATTACTTTAAAAACATGCATAAAAAGCACAATGATGTTGACCATGTGTTCATTTTTTAAAGTTTGAAAAAAGTTGAATATTGACTGAATTATATTGAAAAGCATGGAAAGATTTTTCAAAACCGTACAAAAATTGCAAAAAAACATTTCAGTTTCTTAATTTTATCTTTATCAATTTCCATTATTATAAAAATGCAAAAAAAGTTAAATTTCTAGAGCACCTATGCACACAAAGTCCTGCAAAATTTGTGAAATTGAGCAAATATTAAAAAAAATACAATGAGCTAAACTGAAAAAACTGCAATTGTTTGAAAATTTCGTTTCCCGTTCTGTAGACTTTAGAAATTTGGCAAAACTCGAATTCTTCATCAACATTACTTTATAAAAATGTGTGAGAAGCGCCATAATGTTGGTCATGTGTTCCTTTTTTAAATTCTGAAAAAGGTTGAATATTGACTGAATTATACCAAAAAACGTAGAAACATTTTTCAAAACTGCATGAAAATTGCAAAAAAACATTTTAGTTTCTTAATTTTACCTTTATCAATTTCCATTATTAAAAAATGTAAAAATATTTAAATTTGTAAAACATCTTTGTGCACATAGTCCCACAACATTTTTGAAATTCANAAAAAAAAAACTACTGCCAATAACTCTGTTGCCAGTGCTGGGGATTGTTCCTGACGGCATCAAACCGCGGAGTCGGCGGTGGAGGTGGCGGCGGTAGAGCAGAGAACACTGGCGGAAGTCCCGGCGGCGGCACAGAAAACTTCCCAACCCCGGCATCACCGCCCCCGACGACGGGCAACATCAAAAACGACGACGACGACATCGCCTTCGAATGCCTGTCACGCGTCATCGACGGCGAACAAGACGAGGAAGAAGAAGATGCCGTGAGTGAGATGAGGTTGCCAGCATTGAAGGTCGTTTGGTCGGGCGCGGAGCTGAATTCCAAGTCCGCGTAAATGTCGTCGCCGTTTTCGTGGTCGACGGCGGCTGCGGCGGCGTCGTCGTCGTCCCCGGGGTCCATGGCGCCAAAGCCCGGCAACAAGAGGTCTGAAGGGTCGCCGTTTTCTTCAGGCAAGGGTATCGTTTCGTCGAACCATGTCGGGGGTTCCTCCTGCGAAATGAGGGAGCGGGGGAATTAAAGAGGTGGTGCCTCAGGCAATAGACTTTGATTCATTCCCAACGGGACTGCATTTAGATGAGTTATGAATACAATCATGAAATTTACAAATCCCCTATAATAAAGTTACTTGCGCCGTCGGTCGGTGATTGCGTTGACCACTCCATCCCTCATCACCTATCCCCCTATCTTCCTCCCAATAAGCCCCGCCCACAAGAACAGCAGGCGGGAATCACGAGATCCTGCATTTCCCGAACGAAACCGATACCCTCAAACCGCACAGCATAGCTGTGCGTCGTAGCACGGGCGGTAAGGTGGACTGAAGCCCAGCGCACCGCCCTGCAAGGCCCCGGTTCAATCCCACCTGGGGGAACCTTTTTTTCCAATTCGTATCCTATTTTTATTCATAACTTGCTGAATTTTAAAGTTATTTCAAAGAAAAAAAAACCAAAATTCGTAGAATTTCATTCCACATTCAACTAGGTTTTTAAAATTTAAATTGCTCCATAAAATAAAATTTTATGATGAGTTGAAGCTTAAAACTTGGAAAATTTTTGTTTCTCAACCTTCTCAATTTAAAAATATACCACAAAATATCTGTTCTACCAAACTGGAACTCTTTCACAGTGTAAATGCGCAATGAAGTTTTGCGTTTTTTCCTTTTTTAAACATTCAAAAATGTTGGAAATTGACTGAGATCTTTACAAAAACGCAAAACGTTTTTTTGGAAATTGTACGAAAATCAAAAATTACACAACTTTTTCAATTCTAATTGATACAATTTTCAATATTTTCTAATATAAAAAATTTGTACATATGTAGAAAATCCATCTCAACACAATTTTGAAAAAACTCTTATTTTGTGCAAGTATTAAATAAATGAGAATGAGCTAGACGGAAAAATTCATAACCTCTTGAAGGTTCTGTTCCCCTACATTCTACATTTGAAAATATTTGAAGTTTTGAACTGTTTGTTATGCAATGCATTTCTTCACATTTGTGTTTCTTTATTTGAAAAAAGTTTCAAAATTGAATAAGATACAGACAAAAATACAAAATGTTTCTTAACAGGATGCCCTGCAAGAATCCTCATAGTCATAACTTGCTCAATTTTTGAATTATTTCAACAACAAATAAAATGAAAAATTTTTAGAAATGCATTGCGCATACAAGCAAAAATTTCAAAATCAAAATTTATCTCATACACAAAAAGTTATCATGAGGTAAACTTGAAACTTGGACATTTTTTCCCCAAATTTTTGAATTTAAAGATTTGACAAAAATTCAATTTTGGGTACAAAAATCAATGGAAAATACCCCCAAAAAATTTTTTATCAGGGGATGTCTCCATTCAATCAACATTCTATAGGGATTTTTCAGCCAAAATGCAGAACTGGGCTCCACTGCAAGGTATAAAATTTTGTGAACAATGGACAGTTATGAATTTAAAGGTGAGCTTTCACTTCAGTGAATATGGGTAAGCTCTTGAAGTCTGAATTCTGGAACAAGGCCACTAGGAAGTTGGTCTAAAAAAAATTTTGAAGTTAATCCAGAATGGGTCTTGATAGTGGTGACTGAGGGAAAAGCATTGACCCTGACACCCATTTCTTTATTGAGGTTCAGGAGCATAGGATTCTTGGAAAATTATGAATTTAAATAGAGGAATTTCCACCAAGGAAGAAGTATGGCAAGATTGAAGTAATGCTTCTTTTCTTTTCTAATTTGCTAAGTGTTGAGATGCCATAGGGAAAGTTTGGACCTCACCTTGGTGACAGGGCACCCCACCTTGGTTTTAATGGGACTAAATGGTGGTGCCTGGCTACAGGGAGAATGTGGGTGGCTTATTCACCCCATCTATCAAATTGTTTTCATGTGTGGAGTTATGAATTTAAATGTGAGCTTTCACTTTAGTGAATATGGGTAAGCTCTTGAAGTCTGAATTCTGGAACAAGG